ATGATTTCGTTGATGAACATCGTACTGACGACCACTCGGACCACCACGATGAACGCACGGTTGGAGTCGACAATGAGTAACACAGGGAACACTGATGACGAACATGAGTGATCACCTGACTAGTACAGATGCATCTCGGCAAACACCTCGATTCCGACGATGCTACTCGTGATGACGAAAGGAAGTGCGCAATGATGAGTTGATGCGCGAGTGCTCATCAAGCGTGAGTATGGGAATGAAGCTTATGTTAGCACATTGTCAGGTACAACCACGAATCTCCACGTGGTTGTGCCCACTTCCCAAAATGACAATTGGGAGTGAATCTTCAACTAGAACATGTGCAGACACAACCATCCCCGCCAGCTAGTGCCTCTGCTCACAAACTACAAAACGAGGAGTCTTCTGTAGGAGCAGGGAGCGATAGATAGGAGAGTAATTCAATCACAACTGATACAGCCGAGATGCGACCCGATCCTGACGAGGACGAACTTCACTTCAACTCTCCTTTTCTCTCTCACACACATATAGATTCACATGCGCGCACGTGTGCGCGTTCGAAACCCAGCCTGAGGCGATGTCGACATACGCATGTAGCACCTGCATTACGGATGACGACTACCGTAGCCACTAGGATGAACATGATGGCGAATGGCGCCTCTACCAACTGGATTGGACTTGGAATACGAGCCGCACCTTGTCCAATAGGTATGCAATGACTTGCTGATTTCTGCTGTCGAGATTGTCTGCGAGGCTGTATACTAACCTAGAGGGTTAGATTCGTAATTTTGTTTGGCTGAGGGCTAACCGAGAGATCCGTCTGTGAGGAAATTCGTGAGGGACAGATCTGTAAATCCGGGAAAATACAGGCCCGGTACGAACTGAATTCCTACAGCTACTCTAACTGCCTATAGCAGGCCCGGGCTACCCCTAGGACAGACAGGCCCTAAGTGGCCTATACTGCTATACGGTACTATAGCCTATAGCCGGGTACGGTAGAGGCCGAGAGGCCGAAACAGGGGGATAGACCCTAAAGACCCTCGACCCCTCAGTCCCCGCATGTCTCGCTCCTTCGCTCCATTGCTACGTGGCCTCGAACCCCAAACCCGTTGCTTGAAAATCTAGTATTTGAACCACCATATAAACAGCCTCATGGTTGTGATTGGGCTTGCCAGCTCAACCTGGCCCTTCGCCTCAGCCTTTCGGCCAACCTCCTGGCCACCAGATGACGCAACCAGATGACGTCGTATGTGTCTAGGTTCGTAGCTATGTGGTATCCTGGTTGTCAGGCGCACGATATGCTTTGCCGAACTCCCGACCTTCCCCCATGCTAGGTTTGACAATGTCGTGCCCTTTTCATGTGTCACCAAACACAGTCTTCTTGTGTGTACACAAGGTAGGGTCTTTATCTTCTTTGCGACACATCCCGCTAGGGGCTTTCGTCGGGTCGTGACGTAAAGCTTGTCTCTAAAAACAGGAAAAGTTATAACCAAATTGAAAACTGCAAAAAATGTAACCGGCCCCTATGGCTTTGGTGCCGTCCTCTGACCTGGTATTGCCGATGACTAATGGGCATCTCACAGTGCAACGCAATAATGTGTGCCCGACACACACTCTAATTCGGTCGCATTCGACTCGGAGTCTCGCCAAGAGCGAGGTTGCCGAGGCACTTATAAAGTTTCGTGTGGAGCCAATGTCTATGAAGGCACCGCACTTACGGTCTCCTACACCAACTTCCACAACGAAATGCTATCCTTTAGGACCTCTACTTAGTGCCACCCAGGACTCACGAGGGTCCCTTGTCGACCATTTACTTTGTAGGTCCTCTAAGGCTTCTAACACATCCAACGAGCAGAGTATCGTTGGGTCATGATGCGTTTGGGGGGTGACTAAGGAGTCAATTGCTTTGGCTTACTCTTGAAACGGGGAGGGCACATCACCCGCTTCAACGAGAGTAGAATCAGCTATAACTTATACTGGCCCTATGTGTTTCCCGAGCTGGAACTCGTAGAGGCATTGCTCTGGACCCTGACCTTCGAGTACCGTCGACCTCAACCATCATCAACCGACTCCCTTTCTTCTTCCACTCTTATGAACTCTTCTTGTTTCTCTCGTCCGTCGAGGGTGTTTGAGCACCGCCTAGCGTAGCCGCCAGATCTGAGGCCTTTTAGCTAAATGTCTCAAATGTGTGATAAGCAGGTTCCTGATATCTATGGGAAGCTATCTTAGTAACATGGTCAGTAAGACCTGCGGATTGTATTCAACCCCGGGGGCGACGATCAAATGCTCTTCAGCTGAAGGGAGCTCGCACACAGACTTGTACTTTCTAGTATCAAGTTTCAGCAACCCATCAATGGCAATCGGTGCCTGTTGGGGGTTGTGCCACCGCGCTTCCACTAAATTCATAAAGCTCTCTAGGGTATGGGTCTTAGCCCAATCACCCATGTTCCTGTCGAATCCCTTCGAAGCAACCAATCCATTTAGCCAGTGAGCTGCCGATCCCTCTAAATAGGATGCCGCAGTTATCACTTTGCAATGACTTGCTGGTTCCAGGTTGCCTGTAGCCTCTCTCTGACGAGGCTGTACCATAGGTAGCGATAGATTTGTAATTTTGTTTGACTGAGGGCTAACCGAGAGACCTACCTGTAAGGAAAATTTGTGAGGGACATATTTGTACATATAGGGAACATGGGCCCAGTACGAACTCGAATTTCCTACAGCTACCCTAACTGCGAATAGCAGACCCGGGCTACCCCAGGGACAGACAGGCCCAATGGGCCTACGCTGATAGACGGTCCTATAGCCTATAGCCGGGTAGGGAGAGGCCGTAGAGGCCGAAACAGAAACGGTACCGATCGGTCAGTCGGTCCGGTCTAGGTCGTGTCTAGGCTAGTTTAGAGTATAGATAGGATGGAGACTTCGGTCCGGGGCTTTGTGGCAGTTGACACTTCGTGGTGGAAGTAGCTGCGCACACCGTATCAGGTCGTGGTTGCTGATTCCGGTGTGGGAGACGGCAGACATAGCCAGACCTTCGGAACGCTGACCAGACTGGGGTCAACGCTGTCCGCTCTTACTCTTTGGGAGTCAAAGTGGTCTCGGCTATCAGAGGTCTGATGCGTTGGAACATGTGGTGCACTGCTGACCCTCCTCAGGAGTAGGGTCCCATTGGCGATGCAGCCATAGCTGCATGTTCTCAGAGATTATCACCCCCTGGACTTCATCTTCATCAGGGACTGTTGGCGTTGAGCTTCTTCTTCATCATCTGGGTGGCGATTGGCTCCGGGAGCCTGTTTCACTTTGGCGCAGGCCACTGAGTTGGATGTCAGGGTGGCGCTGGGTGTTGCCTAAGGTCCTGGTGCTATTTTTAGTTGCTCAGTGTGTGTGGGGTTGAGGCGCTTCCCCTCTGAGGGTAGCGCAGCAGGGTTCTGAAGTTATTCAGGGAAAACAATGCTCTGAGTTTAATAAACAGTTGTATTAATGTGTTTGAGTTGTCATCTGTTTATTGATTTCTGGCTGTGGTCTCTCGGTTGTTTCTATGAATGATTGTTGGGACCTGTGTGGAGAGAATTCAGTGTGTTGTGTATTCTGTCACTTCGCTCCCCTGAGTCTTCCGCTGCGTTCCTTTTGTTGGGCGTTGTGACACTCCACTACCTCTCCCCTTCCTTCTGTGCATGTACGGGCGTGTATGGGAGGTCCTGTGAGTGAGTGTTGATATGATTTCAACAGATAATCGTGTTCATAACAACTTCCTCCCCCACCAAGATCCTCTTACCCACACAAGCACTGTTGCATACTGTAACGTGCAGACCAGAACAAGAACCGACCTTTCAATACAAAGTACAAGATAGCACAGCGGAAGACTTAGATACCAGTGATCCGAACAATCAATGTTGTAATGCAGCCCTGAACATACATCATCATCGTTACAAGGTGTGAATGGGTTTGGCGCTTCACACAGGAAGACAGCGCCAGCCCATACCATACACAGACAAAGAGGAAGGGGATAGACGAAGAGGAGGGGGAAGATGGGAATGTCGTCAACACCAAGTCTTCGACACAAGCCCAAATAGTCCCTCGTCGGAATGTCTAAATCCCAAATGTCAAGTCTGGATCCAATGTCGTCAAGTCTCAAGTCACAACTCCTCTCTCGGTCGTAGTCTGAGAAGTCAGAAGGGGAGAGGGTGAGAAGAGAAGGTGGACTTAGAAGAGGAAGAAGAAGAACTCTCTCTCTCTCTCTGTGTCCAGTACTAACCTGTGAAGTTGGCGCCTTGATGCAGGTACCAGGAAGATGGAGCTGGAGCGATGGCGCCACTGGTAAGTAACACTGGCCTCCGCTAGTCTCTCTCCCACTCCACGATCTACCACCTACCAGCGCCCAGCGCTGAAGACTACAGCTACAGCTATGGCGCCCAGCGCCGAAGACTACAACTAGCACTACCACTACTGCCTAGCGCTGAAGACTATTGCAGCGCTCCTCCTGAGTGCTGTGGCCGATCCTGAAGACTACCTCGTGCCTATTGAACTACCTACCCGTGAAGTGCATGGGAACTTCGTATGTACTATGGGTGTGCCTCCTGAGCCTGCCGAAGGGAGGCGCAGGGGCTGCAGCTGGAGCTCCTGCTCAACTCGTGAGGAACAGGGTATTTCTGGCCTGTTTCGCATCCCTGTTTACGTGCCTGAGTCTTAGGGGCAGGTCGAAACAATGAGGGCCTGAAAATGGCCCTCAGTTTCAGGCTGAAAACTTTGGGTCTGAAAAGACCTAGAAATAGGCTGAAACGGGGTAGGGCCTGCAGGCCCTCGTTTTTTAGCATCCAGGCTGAAACGAACGGGGCCTGTAAGCCCTAAGTTTTAGGCTTTTAGGCTGAATGTCCGGGACGGGCCCTACAGGGCCCGTGTGGCTACGCAGTATGCCACACCCCCCCCTCCTTGAAGAACCGAGCTTACCTGCGAGGGCGAAGCTGTCTGTATGAGGGAGGGACCACAGTTCGGGTGGGAGGGGCTGGTCGTGAAGCTTTCTRAGCTAACCTGCGCTTTTCATAATGCGCGTAGATCAGCGGTGCAGATGCTTTCAAATCTTCGCCTGAAATCCACCGAGTGTCGTCGCGATCGCATGCTTTGAATGGGACTTTGTACTGCCGCGGCTTGCTGCCGTACTTGCGAGATGACGCAGTCAACTTCCTGATGGCCATCCATAGAAGGAGGGTCCTGCGATCGTCGGTCCGGAGAGTCGTAGCTCTTGGCTTGCGTGTATGTTGCCAGCTTCGAGGCGTGGAAGACCGGATGGACCGTCAGATGCTTTGGAATGTTGATCACAAATGAACAGCCATCGGGCTCATCGCCCGCGGCTGATGTGCCCGCTCCGTCTGCCCGTCTGTCTGAGGATGTCAGGCCGAACTTGGTTTCACTGTTGTGCCGGACTCCTTCATGAGAGCAGTCCAAAACGCCGACATGAAAACGAGTGTCGCGGTCGCTGACAATGTCTTCTGGTACACCGTGGCCACAAATCCAACCAGTGTGCAGGAGGCGTGCCAGCTCGGGAGCCGTGGAGTAGTACTTGCAAGGGAGAAAACGCGCGTACTTACTCAATCGGTCCACAACCGTGAGGATGCCGTCGTGCCCGAACTGGTCGCGAGGAAACGGACCGGTGACGTCCATGGCAATGGAGAGACCGGGTTCCCGTGGGATAGGCATCGGGTGTAACTCGCCATAGGGATTGAGGTTGCGGGGCTTGCTGCGTCGCCGAACTTTGCAAGAGTCGCAATACCGAGTGACATCGGTAATGAGGTCGGGCCATCGGAATCGCTGTCGAAGCCGTGCAATAGTGCGGTTGACTCCGAAATGGCCGGCGAGTCGTGAATCATGATACTCGCCGAGGAGGCGAGTCCGAAGACGACGGTCGCGTGGGACGCATAGTAAGTCCTTGCCTCTCGAGTGGAGGAGCAAGTACCCGTCGGCAATGCGATAATGGCTGGTCGGCGAGTGATCCGAAGATAGTTGTGCATAGAGCGTGCCTAAGTCCGGATCAGACTCATATGCTCGGATGAAGTGTCGCTGAAGCTCCTCGTCGAATGCGAAGGCATGATGTGTCATAGCGCAAAGATCTGGTCGCGAGAGTGCATCTGCTGTGCGATTTGAGAGGCCGGGTAGATGTTTCGGTGTGAAGTCTAACTGGTCGATGAAGTATATCCATCGTTCGATCGTGCTGCTCACCGTATCCTGCGTCTTGTAGTAGGTCAATGGATTGTTGTCCGTAACCCATGTGAACCTACGACGCCCAAGGAGGAAGTGCCGCCATCGCTTGAGAGCCATGACGAACGCGAGTAGCTCCTTCTTCCTTGCATCATCAAGCGAGTTGATGGGAGGCACTTTGTGGCTGAAATACTCCACAGGGTGCCAGTCGTCGCCGTCGTGTTGTTCCA